GAGCTCTGCACCCCCTTTCCCAGTGCAGCCTCCTCAGCCCCTTGCTGCTGTGGCCCCCCAGGACCCCCTTTTCCTTGTCCCCCCCTTCTCTGCAGTCGGCCACACTCACAGCACACGGTGAGGCGCCCACAGGCTCCGCGAGCAGCAGGAGGAAGAGGAGGAGCTGGACTTGTCTTCAGCCAGGAGGCAAGGCTCCATCCCCGCACTGCGGGACTGGGGGGTGATGCTGCGAGGGGGACCCCGGGTTCTGACCACGCTCCCCCATCTGTGTCCCACAGGCTGACGGATGATGAGCTGATGCGAGTGTGCGGGGGCCGCACAGCACACAAGTGAGTGGTTCCTGGGGGTGCTCTCTCCTTGGGGGGGGCTCTTGAGCAGGTTGGGGGGTACGTGCCCTGCCAGGGAGGTGCCAGACCCTGGTCCCGTGGTTTTTGTAGGGGTGCCCGGCACGGCCTGACGATGAGTGCCAAGCTGGCGCGCCTGGAGGAGCAGGAACGAGCCTTCCTGGCCACGTATGGACACAAGGAGCCCCTCGAGAGGGAGGGAAAGAAGAGGAAAAGGAAAGAGTCCAGGCATGGAGCCAGTGCCGAGGTGCTGCAGAGCCAGGAGCCAAGTGAGGAGGAGGAGGGAGACAAAGGAGAGGCTGCAAAGAGGAAGAAGAAGAACCAGAAGCCAAACGGAGAAGAAGAGGTGGCAGGAGAGGAAGGGAAGGCTGCAATGAGGAAGAAGCAGCAGCAGCAGCAGGAGGACAAAGAAGAGTCAGTTGAGATGAAGAAGAAGAAAAGGAAGAAGCAGGAGAAGGAGGACAAAGAAGAGTCAGTTGAGATGGAGAAGAAGAAAAGGAAGAAGCAGGAGAAGGAGGACAAAGAAGAGTCAGCTGAGATGGAGAAGAAGAAAAGGAAGAAGCAGAAGGAGAACAAAGAAGAGTCAGTTGAGATGGAGAAGAAGAAAAGGAAGAAGCAGGAGAAGGAGGACAAAGAAGAGTCAGTTGAGATGGAGAAGAAGAAAATGAAGAAGCAGGAGAAGGAGGACAAAGAAGAGTCAGTTGAGACGGAGAAGAAGAATCAGCAGGACAAAGAGCCAGCTGAGCCAGAGGTGCCTCTAGAAGACACAGATGGGCCAGACCAGGCCAGGCACAGCCCCAGGAAGAAGAAGAGGAGGAGGAAGAAGGACCCAGAGTGAGCAAGGGCTGTGGCTGGTTCCACCTGGCTTCGAGGGTCCAGATTCCTGTCTTTGGTGCTGGTGGTGCCCAAGGGTGCTCTGGGCTCTTTGTGGCCCGGCTGAGTGTTCATCCCTGCCTGGGGATGCTGGGCTGGGACTGGTTGGTACGGAGCTGGCTTGAGCTTTAATTCCATCAAGGGGGGGACCCAAGTTCCAACCAGGGACCCCTTTGCCGTTGGTCTGTCGCAGAGGGACACAAGGGGACAGACCCCACAGAGCACTGAGATGTTCTGTCAAGGGTGTGAATAAAGCCTTTATTGCCATGAAACTATCCCACAACACGCGGCAGCCCCTGGGATCCTGGATCACGTTTACCCCCAGAAACCCTGGGATTAGGTCAGAACCCAACCAGGCTCCTGGTCTGCACTGAGCTTCCATCCCACTGGCTGGGACCGAAGCCCCGTGAGGTGCTGAGCATCCCGAGCTGTGGGTTTGGCCCTGCTCTGCCCCCCAGACGCAGCTCTAGGTGAGCTGCAGGACACAGTCAGTGCCGGGGTACGGGGGCAGGTTTAAAGCGTATTTCTCCTGGAGCGCTGGTGGCACGAACCTGCCCCCGAGGAAGTGGAAGCGCCCTTCGAAGTGCAGCGCTGCCTTCTTGGGCGCCGTGAGCGAGATGAGCATGTCGGGCTGGAGCCCATCCGCCTTCCCCTTCTCCACATCCCAGCCTGCAACGAGCCCCCGGGACAGGCTGGAGCCGGGAAGACCCCAAATGGGCCCCTTTGGGTGCCTTGTGGGTGGGGGCAGCAGGTACTCACCCGAAGGGATGTCGATGCTGGCTATGGGCACCGTGATGTGCCCCAGGGTGCTGAGGATGCTGCCAAAGGGCTCCCGCACAGCTCCCTTGAAGCTGAACCCGAAGATCGCGTCCACCACCAGCCCATAGAGCTCGTCGATGAGTGCAGGCTGCGGAGAGGAGGGTGGAAACCAGCCCTGGGCATGGCTGCTCCATGGGCACTGAGGTGCTGGATGG